CTTAAGGGGACGGGAGAGAGATTGCCAACCGATCATTCCTCCCCTTATGGGTTCCAGGGCCCCACTGTAGGAGAAACAAGAATAAACCCACCGACTCCCTAAAAAGCATGTCGTAAGAGTCGACAAGTTGGGGGTTACCTTCGAAGTCGGAGTGCATCTGCCTTGTGTGGCAATGAACCAACAGTCTGTATACAAATAAGTCAGATCTATAAAACGGATGTGCACGCAATACTCAGATTCTGGAACAAGTCTAAAATCTAGAGTCGGATGAACAAAGATAACTTTATGATGTAGTTTACAGCTGATGAACGCTAAGAAGAAGAAGAAGAAGATTATTTTGATGTTTCACGTTCGGCTTTAAAACACTCTCACCCTGTTTGGAGAGTTCTCTTTTTGATGTTTCGTTTTTTTCGAAAATGATTAGATGTTGGGTTTGAACTCGCCTCTTCTAGTTTCCACTTTAACTGAACATCAAGAATTAAGGCTGCTGATGGCTTTATTTCCTCCCTTCTTAATTTCTGCCTTCCTTTATTTATTTATTTTAATTAAGTTGTTAAGGTGTTTTAGAACTTAGTAAACCATGATAATGGTAGATGATGATGATAGTGACACGAGGACTGTGGTCATGAGGACAACGATGAAAACGAAGAAGATACACACAAAAATGATGATAACTGCCATACTTCTGCGCAAACAAAGATAATTACTTGGCAAAATTAACAAACAATGCTATACAATCGAGCAAGGCTGGCCGACACAACAATAAAATATTGCCCTGTCAGATGTAATCTATCCGTTGCCCAGAAACCCATCAGTAAACAGAGCCGGAGAAGAGGAGATGGTGGAGGGACCACGGAGATGTATTTGGTATAAATGTCGCAGGTAGGAAAACCCAAAGCAATCGTTATGTCATGACTCAGAGACAAGTATTTCCTCTTGATTATTGATCCGTTGTGGTAATAGACAACGTAGGCGTAGTTTACGTGTCTACGTACAGTTAGGACGATTACGTTGTGTTAAAGAAAGTAAACATTGCACATGTTTAGTTCTACGTTTGTGTTTATGTTGTTTACTGCTGGTCAGAGGCTGATTTACTCTCTTTATGTTACCACACTTTTTGTAAGGAAACAAATCCTTATGTGGATTCCTGGGCCCCATTATGGGGAAAACAAGAATGGACTCACTGCCTCCTTTACAAGCATGTCGTAAAAGCGACTAAATGGACATTTCCTTCGAAGTTAGAGTCCATCTGTCTGAGAGACAACGAACCAATAATCCGCATACGGATAAGTCAGATCTCTAAAACATGTGTGCACTCAACACTCAGATTCTTAAACAGGACTAAAGTCCAGAGGTGGACAAACAACCAGAAGTTTCCGCCGAAGTTACAGCCGGTGAACGCGAAGAAGAAAAAGTAGAAGAAGAAAAAGAGGGTGATGAAGAAAAAGTAGAAGAAGAAAAAAAGAGGATGAAGAAGAAGAAGAAGAAGATGAAGAAGAAGAAGAAGAAGAAGAAGAAGAAGAAGAAGAAGAAGAAGAAGAAGAAGAAGAAGAAGAAGGAGGAGGAGGAGGAGGAGGAGGAGAATTTATGTATGAATGAATGAATAGATGAATGAATGAATCCACTGCTCCTTTTAAAAAGGTAAATAATTACAGGTTTGCCATGATCGAATATGCTGAACCCACAGAGAAGTATGGTCAACACACTAATGCTTCAGGTGATGACAAAGAATAGGAAGTCTTGGCGCCAGTTTATTGAGACATGGCGAAAGAATTGTGTTTTTGATTTTTTTTTTCTCTAGTGTCCAGAAACCATGAGTTGTAAACCCTTTGGCTCAGTACTATGGAAATCGTAACCCTTCGGCCTTGATTCCACGATAGATACCGATATCTGGGAGAAATGTGGCTTTTCTGCACACCCCCGGGTGTGAACCCGGACCACAAGGAGTTCGTCACCTGGTCGCAGCACAGAGGGGTTTAACCGACTGAGCTAACGAGTCGGGCTTGTGTTTTGATAAAGAGTTACCATTGATACATAGTCGTTTTCAGGGATCCTGAAATAAAAGATTAAAGGGAGCCTACATGCGCCGGGATGTGAGAGGGTTGTGTAAGTTTAAATAATTCAAAAATGAGTTTCTCAGTTTCTGGACTGTTTGTTAAATAACATCAGAAGAAATTAAGCGTAGATCTCTGCTTATAATATGTAAGTTAACATTTTTAGAAGGTAGGTGGAAAAAGAGGAGGGCAAAGAAGAACTGGAATGACAACATCAAGAAATGGACAGCACCAAGTTATACACTTATTCATCAAGTGGAAGACAGAGAAAGATGGCGGGTTTTATGTACTAGTGCTTCCATTAGTATACATCCATGACACTAATTGATCAAGGGTTATGTTATTTTAATGAAAATGATCCCGTAAACATATTAAATCAAGCAACATTTTTGTTTTTTAATTAACGATAATGAATCTATAGTAATTTGTGTGTGTTTCTTTTTCAGGTGTTTTGGCACCTGGATGTTTTTCGTCGCAGTTACCGCCGCTTGTCTGGTCACACGTGCATGGGAAACTCATGCATATTCTGTGCTCTTAAGGTGAGTGGTCATATATTTCGCGTTCTGAATGTCTTAGGTTCGTTTCACGACAGCGCCGTTCATTTCACGAGTGCAATTGTTTACAGAGGTCCTTGTGGATCGTCGGCGGAGCTACGGAGATCGTGCTCTGTGTGATGCTCTCGGTAGGCAGCTAGCTGTTCTGCGGGGAGAGACTTAGCCATATGGGATAAAACTCGGTGCAATGAAGTCGATCCTTTCATCTTTACTTATGATTATTTGTGTTTTGTTTTAATGAATAACTTCACTTGTCGCATATGGCCCTCATGACGTCACAAATGTTACCAGGAATCCTGAGTCCGACATGCCTGCTTGCTTGCTTTGCGAAAAAAAAAAATCGTCACGTTCATCTGGCATCCCCGAACGGGGAGCTTTAGGTTATAATTGTGACTGGGCTATGTGCGCTGTATCATGGCTTAGCGTTGCCTGCCACCATGTAACCCTGAAAAGGACTCTTGCGGTGTTGTAATCAAAGGAGACAGACGCGAAGACTGTCTCGACCGACGAAGTCGTCTGCCGGCTAGCCAATGGGTGACCCGGCCGCCGATGACATGCCTGCTGTAAAGGACACGCAACTAACATTGAGTGTTGCCACTGCTGATGGCGCAGTTGTAACATCTTTTGAACAGTGCATCTGGGATTTGCTTTGTTGACTTGCCATCCGAATTGAGATGTAGCAGCTTGGAGAGTAAACGGATGGAAGGATGCTTCTTCTTCTTCTTCTTTTTTATTTCTTCTTCTTCTTCTTCTTCTTCTTCTTCTTCTTCTTCTTCTTCTTCTTCTTCTTCTTCTTCTTCTTCTTCTTCTTCTTCTTCTTTTTCTTCTTCTTCTTCTTCTGCTTCTGCTGCTGCTTCTTCTTAAAATCCTTGCCGTGTGGTGTTGGTAGTCATGTCTATCCACAACCTTCTGTCTCGTGTACTTTCAGTCAACTCTGTCACAGATGATCCTCCACGCCATAATGTCAAACTGTCCAGCATCTTTTCTCTCGGTCTCCCTCTGCCATATACTGGCAAACAAGAAGCACCTATAAGGACTGACAGCCAAGTCGGAGCTTTTCAAAACAATAAACAAGGCATTAGACAGGGATGTGTACTATCACCAGATTTATTCAATCTGTACAGGGAAACAATAATTAGATCCATACATGGTATGGGAGTTGCTGTGACGTAGCTGCTAGACACTCTCCTGCGGGTCGGAAGGTCGTGGGTTCTCACCCTGGCAGAGCCCAGCTTTTTTCAAAAATGACCTTGGCTCCCAGGTTGACCCAGCCTTAAGTGGGTACCGGGGGCAGTTCTAAGAAGTAAAGGCGGCCGTTACCTATTTTGTGCCGTTGGTCTATAAAATATAGGTATAGCCCTAAATACCCAATACGCATGAAAGGCGTGGGAAAAGGTCCTTCACCTCATTTACTATACATGATATGCCAGGAAGGATGCTAGTTAAGACAATTTTACATCCCCCCCCCCCTCCCTCCCCGTCCCTAGTGACAATACTTCTTTCACCCTAGAGAAGAAATAACCGACATTACAGCCGCTGGTATATAAATATATAATTATTAATTGGTACTATGAAACAGAAAAGAAGTCGAGATGGAAGTAAAGTAGAGACAATTTAAAAAACCGCACGAGTAACTGAAACAAGCTAGGGTTCCAGCCTGCAGTATTCAGATAACGACAGGGCCTCAACACAGGAAAGTGTGTGCTTCGGCGTAAGGCCAACTAGGCCAATGATTGACGCCCTGTCTGCAGCAGCTGCTGTTTGGTGATGTCGCCATTACAAGCCCTGTCACGTAATTTGAAAATGACGTCGTCAGACCCATGACTCGGTAAATGTGGGTAGGCAATGATGACGTCACTGGTGGCTTCATGCTGTAGTAGTGAGTCCGTCAGTAAACGTATACAAACCTTAAAATACATTTATGAACTCCCCCCTTTTTTTTCTTTTTTTCAAAATTAGATCAAATTACGGCTGCTAGGCATATTATTTTGTTTCAAAATACATCCTTTTTCAGATGCTACTCTCATATCCTTTCTCATATGTTACTCACGTGAACACTATCATCACATGTAACCAGCTGTACTGATACATCCTTAGGGAAGAAACTGTAACAGCGTGCACAACAAGTAGCTGCAACCCCACCCCTTTTTAGTGGGCTTACAGGTTGTTTCAGTTGGCCTACACGTTGTTTCAGTAGGCTTTCACATTGTTCCGGTGGGCTTTCACATTGTTCTTGTGGGCACACACATTGTTTCAGTTGGCTTATATGGCCACAGTCATCCTAGAAGTAGGCTTGACGTCTTCCTTCGAAGTCGGAGTACATCTGTCAGTGAAGCATCAGGTTCGTCCAAATGGACGAACTACCGGGACCTTCCGTAGGAATTCACAGCCGGTGAAAGAAGAAGAAGAAGAACAACAGCAACAAGTGGGCCTACATGTTGTTCCAGTGAGCAAAAAATATCGTTAGGGGGCCACCTTGCTAATATTTTGGAGAGAAGGGATCACTGCGAGGAAAGCAAAATATACCTGACAGTAAACTGAGCAATATATTGTTTGTGCCAGCATTATGTCAGATGTAGTCAACATTTTGTGTGTGGACATGTTTTGAAAAGGAATAAACTCGAAAAGAATACAAACTAGCAAACTTGATGGACAAAGAAGAGATCAATAACGAAATTACACACGGCACGCACGCACACGCTCACACACACACACACACACACACACACATGCAAATGAAAACCTTAAAGGTAAAATAAATTACAAAAACCGTGTAATTATCTTGTTGCTAGTTAGTATTGTTGTTTAGGATGCCAAAAGACTGTTAAGTACGCAACATCACTATGTATAGGAACACGGTGACGTCAATAGGACAGTTTAAAGATGGCAGCCTCACTTTTTGTCTCCACCCTAATGTCACGTGCTTGAAACTTTTGACACCCTTAACAATATCAGCAGGTTACAAGGTAAATCGCAGGGTTATTGTAATTTCTGTCACACTTTTAATGTATTCATTTGAAGGCCCCCCCCCCCCTTTTCCCCCCTCAGTATATACATTATTTGTGCATTTTTGAATGTAAGTCTGTGTGTGTAGATATATACATATATACATGTGTGTGTGTGTGTTATTGTGTGTGTGTGTTTACTCCGTGTGGACAGTCTGTAACTTTCCATTCGCAGGTCATCTTCACCCAGTTCCAGTTCAGCGATCAGTCATCCCTACACCCTGATGCTCTTAGGAAAGCTCTGGCCGAGACTTTCGTCAACCAGCAACGGTTTCAGCTGGGACACATGGACGATGCCGCCGAGTGTTTTGTGAGTACGCTTTTCCACAGGACTTTATGCAGTTTAAATAGTAGGAATAGCACAGATGCTATCAAGGACCATTTGTCCACACCTTTATTATCTGGGGTCTATTGTGCTAAACCTGTATTTGAAAGACCACTCACTAGGCACTCGATGGGTGATGTAGTCAACATCACGCCGACCACCTTTACTTCCCGTGACTTTGTTTGGTAAACGTTTACAGGTGGGTCGACCTGGGAGCAAAAACACTTTTTTTGGAAGAAGTCCAGCTCCATTCAGATTTGAACACATGACCTTCGGATCTGTAGATGAGCATCTAGCCGCTACACCACGTCGGCTCCTGCAAGCTATATGATTATTGTCTGTAGTAGAAATCACTGCAGCGTGTAGCACTACTTTACTATAGTTAGTCGACAGACAATCCTCATTTCACATCGAAACATTCAGTCGAATGGATTCAGTCCGTAAGTGCTCGCACCCTCTCCTCGTGAAATCCTGCAGCGTGTAGCACTACTTTACTAGAGTTAGTTAATCTACAAATTATCCTCACTGAACCTCGAACCATTCAGCCCATAAGTTCTCAGATCCCCTCCTCAATAAATCCCTCAGCACATAGAAGAATACTTGACTACTCAGTGACAAATAGTACATGCGGAGCCTTACACTTCCCATCTTTCAGCCAAGCTCTGCTCTGGTATCTTCTTGTCTCTACTCCTGAAATGCATTGCAGCGGCAGGACAGGAAGAGGTCTCTGGGACGGATCATTCTGTTCGCTTCTTATGTAATACTTGTCAGTGTCTCTCATGTTTATGCTGTTCACGCTCTGCGTGGTCGACCTTTGGTCTCTGTTACCGCTGTATCTGTATAACAGTTCCGGCTTTGGCTACTGTATACCAGCTTTTAATTATTTTGTAATTATGTTGTTGTTGTTGTGGCTGTAGCTGTTTGTTCAACTGCATTGCTGGAATAACAAACACATATTTCTCATGAGCGCTGATGTTTCCTGTAGATATTACAAGGTCATGACAATTGTGTTGTGATTTATCTTTTTTTTTTTAATTTTTTGTTTGGGGCCGATCCAGGCTTATCAGCGCAATTTTTTTAATTCACATATTGTAGAGCAAACCTTTCTTCGTGTTGTTCACCAGCTCGATAACTTCCAAAGTGTTGCGACTAAGATTATTGTCAACGTGCAAGCAATACCCAAGAATGAAAGATAAGAAAAAATATAAAAGTAACGTGTACATATTCTTCTTCTTCTTCTTCTTCTTCTTCTTCTTCTTCTTCTTCTTCTTCTTCTTCTTCTTCTTCTTCTTCTTCTTCTTCTTCTTCTTCTTCTTCTTCTTCTTCTTCTTCTTCTTCTTCTTCTTCTCCTTCTTCTCCTCCTCCTCCTCCTCCTCCTCCTCCGCGTTCACCGGCTGTAAACTCCTGCGAAAGGTTATGGTTCTTCCTCCACCTCTGGACTCTAGTCCTGTTCCAGAACCTGAGTGTTGTGTGCACATCTGTTTTACAGATCTGACCTATTTGTATGAAGATTGTTGATTCCTTGCCTCACAGCAGATACACTCCGACTTCGAAGAAAGCGGCGCCGCCGCCCCCCCCCCCCCAGTTAGTCAACTCTTACGACATGCTTTTTGGGGAGGCAGTGGGTCTATTCTTGTTTTCCGCCACACCAATAGCAGCATCAAGTTTCCAACGCAATGAAGAGAAATCAATACATGCCCGCGATCATGTTGAATGGGTTGTAGAAATCCATCGGCGGATAGCAGATATCGGTTGCAAGTTGTTTTGCTGTTGGTTTAATTTTGTGGTTACGTCTCTCGAGGTTGCATGTTACCTGGTGTGTTCTGTTTTAGAATCCTTCTATTGTTGTTATCTCCATGTCTTGATTTTACGTTTTTGCTGGTTTGCTGTATGTACTCTTGTACTATGTCTCTGCTTTCCTGTAAATAATGTTGAATTGCCTGCTCTTGACAGTGCACTGGCATGACTGCAAAAGTGTGTGTGTGTGTGTGTGTGCGCGCGCGCGTGCGTGCGTGCGTGTGTGTGTGCGCGTGCGCGCACGTGCGTGTGTGGGGGGGGTGGGGGTGGGAGCAGCCGTGGTCTCGGCGACTGACGCTCGACCGGATTTTTTTAGAATGTCGTGACCTTCGGTTCCAGGTTGACCGGATTTTTTTTTGAGTGGGTACCAGGTGCAGTCCTGCGAAGTAAAGGCGGCCAGAGTGATGCTGACAACATCACCCCCCGAGTGCAGTTTGGTCTATAAAATATAGGTCTAGCCCTATATACCCAGTACGCCTGAAAGGCGTGGAGAAGGGTTCTTTACTTTTTACTTTTATGTATGCATACAAACAAGTCAGATCTGATATAGCATTTTAGCGGAAAAGAAAGCCCCTGTTTTCTTCCATAAGGACTGGGGAGATAGTTCACGACTCACACCACCAGTATCTTCCTCCAGGGAAGATGCATGCTCTCAAAATAGTGAATTTGGTTTCCTTGCTGGTGCTTAACCATATACTTTTATCCACATAGTAAGAGTTAGATTAGGGGCCTCTACGATCACAAACTCCAATTGGAAAGGGGGCAGGTTTTGTAAAAACATAATATAATAAAAGGAAAAGGAGAGTGTGCTATTATGGTTAAGTGAGCATAAAAAAACATAATGCTTTCGTGTAATAGGACCCAATCTAAGATGGAAGAAAGTAACAAGCAACCTTTAATTTTTGGTAGAATACTGCAGCGCTAACGTCAGATGTTATGTATATTCGATATCGTCTGCTTGCTGATGTAGAGTGCAAGAATCCAGTTCCCTACCTCATTACTTCAAGCCGCATTAGCGCAGTCAATAGGAGACTCGCTGTCAAATCCAGCCGCGACTCGCTGCAGTACACGGCCGGTGTTCGAAACCGGGGGGTTTCCTGGGTTCACCCAGCCTCTAGATTCTAGGTAAATGGTACGTTAAAACTGGCGTAAATGGAGGAACGCAGCTGTAGCTAAAGAGTTGCGTGCAGACGAAGACACAAGTGGACAGTTTCTTATCAGCTGTCCGTGCTGGTGGCAGAGCAGTTATGGTTTATAACCGTGTGCAATGACGCTGGTTCATATCTCCCGACTTTACCTTTACTTCAAGCCTCACAGCCTTCCTTTAGTGAACGGCCAGCGGCGTGCACCGTAAACACCCTAAGCTTCACAACCTCCGCTGAGTTTACATCCGCTGTTATCGATCCGAGGTGGGTCTCGGAAACGATCTCCCAGTTGCCACGGTTACAGTGAGCCGACCAGGTATAAATATCTGTCGGCTGTGTACACCTCTTTGTCAACCGTTATCCATCTCCCCCGTGTGCTGCTGCCACTCTCCATTAACTTGTTATTGTTGTCTGAAGTCATGGGCGCGAATGTTTATTTCACCTGCAGAATGTTTTCCTGCGGGAAAAAACAATATGAGATCTAGCATCAAGCTTTTAATAATGCAATAGTGGACAGAGTCCCATTATAATATAGTTAGTTGCATATCCTTTACAGTACGTTGCAGAACCAACCCCAGCATTTTTTGTAAGGCTGATGTGGTTTTTGGGTTTGATCGACGATAATCTCCCCACGGTAAACACTAACTCACTCCTGATTGGTCGACCTCCAGTCACTCGACCTTCGCACACTGCTAGATGGGTGTTCGGCAATGCGTTCATTAGCATGTTGCATATTTAAGCACACCAGCACTTTTAGCATTACAAAAACATTTACAAACTGGGTCTAACCCACAACACCTCTAGAGAGTGTGCATGTCACAGGCATTTTTTTTTTTTTTTTGTATGGCAGAAAAATGTAAATGCAAGACAAGCCAGAAAGTAAACAACATGGCCATAACCCCACAGACAGCAGACGAGTCAAAAAAAATATATCAATGGACTGTGGCCTAGTTCGGCTGGGGAGATTATAGTAGATCAGACCGGTTTTTTTAGGCAAGTTTACGCCCAGTAGTGTCATTACTTACTGGACGGTCGGCTTCTCGAAATCAACGCAAGACGAAAGTCCCGCAGCTGGGATCGAACCTGACACCCCGGCACTACGAAGCGCGCCCGCGACCCCTAAACCACAGTTGCCGACAAAGTATAATAAAATAAAATATAATAAATATGATATAATATAATATAATATAATATAATATAATATAATATAATATAATATAATATAATATAATATAATATGAAATATAATATAATATAAGGATAATATAATATAAGTAATATAATATAAAAAGAAAACCAGCAAACATCCTGCCCTCCTGAATTGGCGACACAAAATTCTTAGAATACTAACCGAAAAACTTGTTGTATTTAATAAATATGTCGTAAAAATAATATAATATTAAGGGATAATATAATATAATATAATATAATATAATATAATGCCATAATATAAGGCTATAAGAAATAATAGTAAAGAATGAATATAATATAATGTTAACAATATCGGACAAGAATATAATGAAATAAAACCAGAGCTAACAATGGAATCACGCGTAAACTGAATTGAACAGACACAAAATTCTTAGAATACCCGGAATTGTTGTGGGACCATAAGAATTGAAGGGTTTCATGAAATAACTACCTTTTTTACTTCTTCGTGTTTACCGGCTCGGCGAAAAGTTTTGGTTGTTCGTTCACTTTTGGACTCTAGGCCTGTGTTGCGTGCATATCAGTTTTACTAAGTTAGAAGAAAGTAACAGGCGTGGCTTGCCTTGGTGATGACTAATGATGGGAACCAACAGCATGTTTAGCCAGCTAATCATTAAATGTCTGACTCAGTATGGCAACATAAACATTACCTGACTTAAATGTGCGGAAAGAATGACGAAAGTGTTATCTACTATGTCATTAACTGACACATGGTCTCCGTCATAGTGTTTTCGGTCTCCACATTCTTGTCCGTTACAGTCCAAGGCGATGAATCACCCACAAGGGATTGATCACGTGTGCGGTCAGTGTAGCCATTCGGGCAATACAAGTAAA